TCCGCTTTCCATTCAACGGCTGTACCACCATCTATACGATTATTGTATCGATGGTTTGCAGGAGCTTTTGATTTTCTTCACACAATTACTCCAATCTTGCACTCAAACCATCACATTTAAAGCAAAAGGGCGAGGCACTATAGAGAGTATCTCACTAAAAGAAACAATATGCATGATGTGAGTATGCTCTGTGTCTGTCTGTCTATGAAAAAAAGTGTGTGTGTGTGTGTGTGTGTGTGTGTGTGTGTGTGCGTGCGTGCGTCCATTATCTAGCCACACACACACACTCCCTTTTCTCCCTTTTCTCCCTCTTCCCCCCCCCCCCTTCTCTGCCTGCCTTTCCGCGAAAGCAAGGCTGAATGTACCAGCCATATAAGATGTCAAGCGATGCTCACCACTCGCGCAGTCGTTTCCTGTACTCCAAGCAAGATGAAGCCACTAAGAAGAGAGTGAGGGGGAGAGGAGGGAGAGACGTGACATGGGCACGTGGGATGGAGTTGCTTACAACAAAGCGAGGCCACAACAACAGCTACAGCAGCAGCAGCCAGGAAGAGAGCAAGGGGAGGAAAGACACACGTGACGAGCAGCTGGGCAGGTGCGTGTACACCACAACGGATATGTACAAGGTGGTGGCAAGCGGCGCACTACTGCCATGCATTGGGCTGGTCAGGGCAAACAAAACACGTGGCAGATGGCAGCGCATGCACCGCTCGTCACAAGAAGGGGCAGCTTCGGAGGGGGGTGGGGGAGGCTCGACACTACATGCCACAGTCTCACGGCAGACGGCCACAGAGAGACAGAGGGGCACAGAGACAGAGACAGAGACAGAGAAGAGAGACAGACAGACAATCACGGAGAGACAGAGAGACAGACAGACAGTACCACACAATCACAGGCACACAGATACACAGGTAGACACACGAACAGACACACACACGCTATCGCTTGTATCTTCGGTAGTCGCCTGTGGCGGCAATCTCTGCCTCAATCTCCTCGCGGCTGCGACGCACGCGCGGTGACAACACCTCCTTGTTGGGTTCCACGTCCGTGTGTGTTGCAAAGTAGGCGATGCCAATGGTCGTGTTGATGACCAGAAGCGCACCCAGCGCCCACACAAACTTCATAGTCATGGTGCGGCCCGCATTCTCCTGGTGGGACAGTGGGGGGTGCAGAGGAGACGGAGCGTGTGTTCGTGAAGCAGATCGGGAGACTCGCAAACACACAGACAGACAGACACACACAGACAGATAGGCAGACAGACAGACACAGGCAGACAGACAGACAGACACACACACACAGACAGACAGACAGACAGACAGACAGACAGACAGACAGACAGACAGACACAGGCAGACAGACAGACAGACAGACACAGGCAGACAGGCAGACAGGCAGACACAGGCAGACACACAGGCAGACAGACAGACAGACAGACAGACAGACAGACAGACAGACACACACACACACACACACACACACACACACACACACACACACACACACACACACACACACACACACACACACACACACACACACACACACACACACAGACATCAATCGTACCGGTGGTCGCTCAAAGGTCGCCATGGCTCTCCGCGCCACAGTTGCACTCGCAGCAACGCGGCCTGGTGCCCGCGCCGCACTCATCGATGTTCTGGCAGCCGCCACCACCGCTCTTCCCATCATCATCATCACCATCGTCGTTGTTGTTGCTGCGCGCGTGTGTGTGTGCGTGGATTTGTGGCATGTTGTTGTCATCATGTCATCTGCATCCTCATCATTCTTTTCTTCTCTCTCTTTCTTCCCTGTGCTGTTGTCACATCACACTGATGATGGTGTTGGCGTTGGTGGTATGTATGTACAGTGTCGTCGTGAACAAGGAGGGAGGGGAGGGGATGATAAGCAGGGCGGGGGGGGGGAGAGTCGATACAAACAGGCGCTAGCAGCGCGCAACCCCGAATAGGAATTCCTAATTGATGTGATCATGCATGCAACAGAACACGAACAGAGGTACAGTGCTGCACGTACACGCAAGGTCGTGGTGCGACACAGACACACAGACACACAGACACAGACACAGACACAGACACAGACACAGACACATACACACAGACACACAACCACAAACACACACACACACACACACACATCAGACTACACTACACGGTTGATTCGTAACGCGAGTGTGGGACGCGTCGCGGTGAGCGGGCAACACCATTACCACCGCCATGACCACGACCACGCACACGACCGCCAACACCGCCAACATCGCTGCGAGCAGAGGTGTAGAACCCACCACCACCACCAACACCACCAACAGCGCTGCTTCCAGGACTGAACACACCGCCGCCGCCGCTGCTGCTGGCAACGCTGCCCATATCCGCCATGTCACCGACATCGGCGACGGTCGACGAGCCCGCATCGCTCCCCATCATCGCCATCATCGCCTCGGCCTCGCTCGCATCAATGCTTGGCAGCGGGGCCAGCAGCTTGTCCCGCGTCCCTCCGGCTGTTGTCGACGACGAGGAGGAGGAGAAGGTTGCGACCCCCTCACTGTGGCCGTGGCCGGGCAGCGTGTGGTGGTTGAAGCTCACCGTGCTGCCACTGCTGCTGCCAGGCACGCTGCGTGTGCCCGTGTGCCCATTGCCACTGTTACCGCTGAAGCTGGTGCTATTCGCCTTTGCGCTGGCGTTGGTCGCTGTGAGCGCGGCCTCGGACCGCCCACGCCGCGTGGACGTCATGAGCTCGCGGTGGGCGTTGAACGACGGCGCAGACGTGCGTGTGCGGCGGCGGAACGAGCGGAAGAGGGACGAGCCTTGCCGACGCACGGGGCTGCCGCTGCCGTTGGCGTTGGCGGTGCCGCTGCCATGGCCGCTCTCGTTGAGTGTGGGGTGCACGGGCTTGCGGTGGAGCTCAAATCTGCCGTCGGGTGAGGAGATGGTGAGGAGGTGGCAGGAGTGGTGAGGGGGTGAGGGGGTGAGGTACAGCGGGGACCAAGTGGCAGAGCAGAGTGATGGTTGGACTGAAAGGGAGTGATTTGGCCAGGAGGCAAGTAAAATATGTGCGACGTGTGGTGGGCGGGCGTGAACCAACACAGACAGAAAACTAAACACACACAGACACACAGACACACACAGACACAGACATACAGGCAGGCACACAGACACAGACTCAGACTCACATACAGTCATACAGGCACATACAGACAGACAGACAGACACACACACACTCACACACACACACACATGGACACGCACCTTCTGTTCTCCTCGCCGTACCAGTCTGCAAACAATACGGGGCACACATCCGGCTCAAGAGTCTGCGCACCATGGAAGTGAGCGTGCGAGCGAGTGAGCATTCGATGCACAAAGCATGTGACGCAGCGCAGCCGGCTAGAGCGGGTGACAATCGCAAAGCGGCGATGCAGCTGCGACTTCCACATGTTCACATGCTCGTTGGGCATACGTACAATGGTATGTTCTGTTCGACTGCCAAAGATTTTGGATAGGGATCCTTGCCGCTTGACCTTGCCAGTCTTCTCGTCAACGAGGATGGAGCGCAGCTCAAATTCAGACGGATCGCTCGGCTCACCATATCGCTCCAGCACCTGGGCAATGACCTGCAACAGCAACCGGGAGTGTGAGTGAGTGAGTGAGTGAGTGAGTGAGTGAGTGAGTGAGTGAGTGAGTGTCAGTGTGTGTGTGTGTGTGTGTGTGTGTGTGTGTGTGTGTGTGTGTGTGTGTGTGTGGTGTGGGCGAGCGGAAGCAGAAAGGCAGAGCAAGTGCTTGGAGCAAGCATTTGCACGGTCCGATTCGACGGACGCTGTGAGCACCCACCCACCAAGCAAGCAAGCAAGCAAGCAAGCAAGCAAGCAAGCAAGCAAGCAAGCAAGCAAGCAAGCAAGCAAGCAAGCAAGCAAGCGACGACACCATCACATCAGTGATGGGTTGCACGAACCTCCGAGGCGGTTGTGTCTTCGCGGGCGAGGATGCTCTTGTACTCGGCGCCAGGGCTGAGCAGGGCGGAGCCGCCATACACGCGCAGCCCAACGGCCACCTCCGATCGTCCGCCAACCTTCATGCCGGGGCTCGACATGCTCTTCTGTGAGAACACAGGAAGGTCCGACATCGTGCCGTCCGGGTGTGTTGGATGTCGGTGCGTGCGTGGGTGCGTGGGTGTTGTGTTGTGTGCGCGACCTGCTCCCTTGCTTGGAATCGCAGTCCTTGCCGTGCTTCCCTCTCTCTTCACCGACTTCTTCGTCTGTGCGCGCGAGGAATGAAACCTGCTAGTAGCGTGTCTGCTTGCTTGCTGCCTGCCTTCTCGCTGCTTGCACTCCCTCACCTGCCTGTCACGCCTTCGCACCTCACCCCCTCGCTTCAAATCACAGCGGTCTTCGTCTTTGGCGTCTTTGTTCGAGAGGGCCTTCAGAGTGCGCACTAAATGTATGTTTCGCACAAGAATTCAAAGCAAACAGCCGTCTATCCACCGCATTTGATGCCAAGGCGAGCGGAAAGCCGGACGTTGCTGCTGCTGTTGTTGTTGGTTGCTGGTTGTGCAGTGTGGCTGGTGCTGACGACGACCTTGGAGGGCAGTGAGGAGGCACACAAAGCGAAGGCAAGGGCGCAGACACACGTACGCGTCCTCACAAGGGGGCAGGGAGAGAGGGGTTGCACGATGAGCCGCTGGTCCTTGCCAGAGCGCTGGCTGCTTTGCCCTCGCTTGGGCACCGTCGTCGCAGACGGTGAGTTCAGTTGCGCGCCATTACTGTGTGTGTGTGTGTGTGTGTTTGTGTGTGCGTGGTTGTGTGTGTGGTTGTGTGTGTGGTTGCGTGTGTGGTTGCGTGTGTGCATGGCTGCGTGCGTGTGTATGTGTGTGTATGCGTATGCACAGGCTATTGCAATGACGTGCCTCTGCTTCGCTCGCCTTGACCTTTGCAGATGTTAAGTTTGTGCCGATGAAGACCATGCTGGATTCGCGGTACGACAGCCAGATTCCAGAAGAATACAGATGGACGCCAGAGATGTTGGCTGCTCGCCACCCAAGTCAGTGCCCTTGTGTGCACTACATGATTGCCACAGGGCGAGAGGTGGCGGGGACAACGAAGGCGATCTACATTGCAGTGCTTGATGTGTTGTGAATTGATGTGTGCGTGCGTGCGTGGGTATTTGATGCGCATTTGATGCGTATTTGATAAGTGTGTGTGTGTGCGTGTGTGCGTGTGTGTGTGTGTGTGCGTGTGCATGTGACGTCTCAACTTGCATGGACTTGTGCACATATGCGCAGATCTGGGCATGGTGATTGACTTGACAAAGAGCAGTCGATACTACGATCCTCGCTTGCTTCCAAAACACATCCTCCACCACAAGATCCAGTGTGCAGGGTATGTATGCGTTGCGTGTATGAGTTGTGTGCGTGTGTTGGTGTGTGTATGAGTTGTGTGTGCGCTTGTGCGTTTTGTGTGCATGTGTGGAAGAATATGCGCGCCTTCTCTGCTCATGCCCAAGCCCATGTTTCCACGCACATGCGTTGCACTGTCGTGGACACGCAGGCGAGGGTCTACGCCAACACCACAGCAGGTGTCCACGTTCATCGCCGTCTGCAACATGTTCTGGGCCAAACACCCAGACAAGGTCATCGGTGAGTATTGTGTTTGTGCATGTTTGAGTGCGGGTATGCTGTGTGCGTGTATGATGTGTGCGCATGCGTGTGTGCGTGTGCGTGTGCGCGTGTGTGCGTGTGCGTGTGCGTGTGTGCATGTGTGTGTGTGAACTGCGCTGCACAGATGGCAGAGTTCCCGCTGACGGCCCTCTCAACAACCTGGCTTGCATCGCTGTTATCTTGCACACTTGCACAGGCGTGCACTGTACGCACGGCTTCAACCGCACCGGGTTTATGATCATTGCGTACATGTGCCAGCAGCTCGACTACCAGACGGAGATGGCAATGCACCTCTTCAAACAGTCCCGCCCGCCAGGCATCTACAAGTGCGCTGCACGTGGGCATGCGTGGAGATGTGTTTTGTGTGTGTGTGTGTTTTGTGTGTGTGTGTGTGTGTGTGTGTGTGTGTGTGTGTGTGTGTGTGTTATTATGCTGCATATGGCCCCCGGAATGTATTTTATATTGGAACCCAATATGACTCAGTTCTGTTATCCGCATGAACTCATCTTAACAATACTCACTAAATGTGAAGAATCTCGCTTCTTTGAGGTAGACAACGTTATTACGGCGTTACAGCAACTGGGAACACGAATCACTAGGCCGCAACTACGAGGATGGTAGGTCCTGCGCTTACAATTCTTTTGTCTCAAAACTGGTGTGTGTGTGTGTGTGTGTGTGTGTGTGTGTGTGTGTGTGTGTGTGTGTGTGTGTGTGTGTGTGTGTGCCCTTCCCCCCCGTCTCCCCTCCCCTTGACTCTCCCCTTGACTCTCCTTGTCTCTGTAGCTCAACAATACCCGCAACCCCATCCCACAACACAACCGCCATCACCTCATACACAGGAACCACTACATTGAAGATATCTTTGCACGATTCGATGGGGATTCAAGCGGTTTCCTCCCCGCCGTCCTGCCAGACTGGTCCCTCCCAAACGCAGGTCTGGCCAGCGTGGTGGTGGTGATGTTTTGTTGGGGTGGTGGTTGGGGTGGTGGTTGTTTCACTTGTTTCACTTGTTTGATGCCTCGATTGTAGCACGTTGACACATGCCCTATCCATACCTACTTCACACCACCACCACCACCACCACCACCACCGCCACCACCACCACCGGCATCAGAGCTGCACATGCACCTGACTGCTGCCATTGATCTTCTCCGCTCAACGCCGCCGCCAATCACCGGTGCAAAGCTCAAGGTGCCATTCTTGTTGCGCCGTGACTGTGACTGTGTGCGGGAGAGTGTGACTGTGAGTGAGGTTGGAGATGTGTGTGTGCGTGTGTGTGCGTGTGAGAGAGAGTGTGCGTGTGCGTGTGCGTGAGAGAGTGTGTGTGTGCGTGAGGGAGAGAGTGTGAGAGAGATTGTGTGTGTGCGTGTGCGTGCGTGTGTGTTTGTGTTTGTGTGCGCGTGCACGTGCTTGCATAATTTGACTTACCCTCCTTCTCTCCTTCTCTGTCCCTCTGTCCCTCTGTCCCGCTCCCCCTCGTGCTGTTGCTCTCCTCCTCATACCCCTCTTGTCGCTTGCCCCAACATCGTGACCCGGCCACCAGGAGTTGTGTGATATCTGCAATGCCGCTCTCAGCGTCGCTGAAGACGACACAATCGTGCTCGTACGTCGAGAACGTGATGTGGGCTGTGGAGTGTTGTTGTTGCTGTGCGCGTGCGTGAAGGCGCATGTACGTGATGGTACTGTTTGTGTGCAAGCGGCCACACCTCCGCGCGTGCTGTGACCGGGTACAATCGATTCAAACGGTTCAATATTCGATTGTCGCCAGCGCTATCATCATGATCATCATCATCATCACCCTCGCTATTGTTATCATCATACACTGCTGCTGTAGATTCTGCGCGCACACGGCTGGACTGGGCTCACCTTCGCCGGCGACAAGGTGGCGTGATGGTGAAGGCGATGGCGGCAGCCGTGGTACTGGTGGTGCGTGTATTGATGTGCGTGTACATGAGGATTGCAGACATCAGACACACACACGCGAACACACACACACACACGCACACACACACACACGCACACACACACACACACACACACACGCACACACGTATACACACACGCACACACACACACACACACGCACACACGTATACACGCACGTACACACACACACACACACACACACACACGACACTGCTCCATGAGTGCAGGTTGCGTCGGCGGCGCCGCTGGCTGACGAGCTGCAGGCGGCGGCAGAGGAGATGCGGCGATGCGCAGAGCAGGCCGAGGAGGAGGGCGACGACACAGCAGATGCACACGGTATGGACACAGGGGGGTGTGTGATAAGGCGGGAGGTGTGTGTGTGTGAGTGAGTCAGTGAGTGGAGTGAGTCAGTGAGTGGAGTGAGTCAGTGAGTGTGTGTGTGTGTGTGTGTGTGTGTGTGTGTGTGTGTGTGAACGAGGACGAGCGTGAGTGCGAGTTTGAGCTCGAGTGTGTGAGTGTGTGAGTGACTCGTATCTGTGTCCTTCCATGTATCGTTGCTCACACCGCCATCGCCCATCACCGACGCGCACGCCCTGCAAACCAGGCACCGCCGCGACGAGCGAGCACCTATCGTCATCATCAACAGCAGAAGCGTCATCATCATCAACAACAACAACAACAGCGGCCCAGCCGTCATCGTCGTCAGGGGAGGGCGATAGCGGTGCGAGCCGCGTGCTGCGGATGCGTGCGGAGGATCAGCGCTGTGAGCGCGAAGATGCCGTGCCCTCCGGTCTCACGTTCGCCCTCGACAAGGTCGCTCGTGTCGTCCATCTCGCTTGCTTGACGCGCTGTGATGGTGATGGCGGTGGCGGTGATGTTGATCCATGATGCTGTGGTGCCTTGTAGCGATGATGATTTGGTGTGACGTTGAGGGTGGCAGTTGCAAGTCGTGGTATTGAGGGTGGCTGCCCCTCATATGCTCTGCTCCCACATTCTTATTTCCTGTTCTCAACGAGTTCTCTGCCTTCCCGCCGCCGCCGCCATCATCACTGCTGCCGTGCAGAGTCCGTCCATTGGGCCGCCACACCTGGGGCCCCTCAGGAAACTCTGCAGGGAAATGGTATGTGCACGCACGAGCTATGCATGTGCTTGCCTTGATATGCCCCGATACACACCACAACACAACACAACACAACACAACACAACACACCACAACACACCACAACACAACACAACACACCACAACACAACACACCACAACACAACACACCACAACACAACACACACACACAACACAACACCACAACACACCACAACACAACACACCACAACACACACACAACACAACACAACACACACACAACACAACACAACACACCACAACACAACACAACACAACACAACACAACACACCACACCACAACACACCAAACCACCCCTGCCCACCAATTGCTTGACGTGTGCTGCAGGTTGGTGCGCCGGCGGGCACGGCGTTCCCCGGCGCGCAGCCCGTGTCGCTGCTGCAAAGTCATCTGGAGAAGATGCGAACAGCGCCCTTCTTCCTCTCCCACAAGGCAGACGGCACACGGTAGCTATGCTGGTGGCAGTGGTGGTGGTGGTGGCGAGCGGCCGTGTGTGTGAGTGTGTGAGATGTGTTTGTGTGTGCGTGAGATGTGTGTGTGTGTGAGTGTGTGAGATGTGTGTGTGTGTGTGCGTAAGATGTGTGTGCGTGTGTGTGTGTGTGTGGGTGGGTGCGTGTGGGGTGTGTATACACATATGATTGTGTGTTCCCGTGCAGACTTGCTGTGATTGCCCACACCATCCCTTGCCCCCCCCCCCTGTGTCACTGCCCTCGCCCTCACCGCCATCACCACGCCACGCCATGCGTCCATCATCAGCTACTTGATGATGATTCTGGGGCCTGGCAAAGTGTACATGGTTGGGCGCGACAACTCAATCTGTACGTGTGGCACAGTGGTCACGTTGGTTGCCTGCATGCATGTGCACATAAATGCATGTGGATGTATTTAAGCCACTGCGAATTTGCTCTTCTTCTTCATCCGACACTGGCAGCATCGCCCACATCACGACGACCCCCCCCCCCGCAAACGTGCCTTCCTTCCCTCTTCACTCATTGCCGATGACATGTCTGTGCCACCACATGCTGCCTCTCCCCCCTCCCTCCCACCACTGTCATCAGTCCCTGTCTCCGGACTGCACTTCCCGACGAGCGGACGAGCGGACCAGCACTGGCAGCAAACCCTCCTCGATGGGGTGAGCACACAACTGAGCAGTGGTGGTGGCTTTAGTGATGGTGGTGGTGGTGGTGGTGGCTTTAGTGATGGTGGTGGTGGTGGTGGTGGCTTTAGTGATGGTGGTGGTGGTGGTGGTGGTGGTGATGGTGATGGTGGTGGTGGTGGTGGAGCACGAAACGGGCGCTGTTTGCGTCAGGTGCTGTGCTGTACTGCTCTTATTCCATCATACGTGTGACTGGTTCCAATGACAACCCATCCTATGAACCACCATCATCTCATCCTCTTCCAAACCACCACCACGACCACCACGACCAGGAGCTTGTGCTTGACACGTGGAACGACAACAAAGACCGCCGTTACCGCTTCTACATCTTCGACATCATCTGCTGCGGCGGCAAGGTCCGGCCCTGCCTCTTGTGTGTGTGCATGTGTGTGCTCTGTGTGCGTTCGTGTGTGTGTGTGTGTGCGTTCGTGTGTGTGTGTGTGTGTGTGTGTGCACGTGTAGACGTGAGCACAGACGTGCGTGTTCTCTGCGCACATGTGCACACGTGTGTGTGTGTGTGTGTGCATAGGTGCACGTGTCTTCGCCGTGTGTCCTTGCCTCCACTTGAAGCTCATTCAACACGTGCCGTCGTCGTCTGCTCATCATCAGGACTTCACCAAGTACAAGTACCATCAGCGACTTGAGTCCATACAAAAACACATCATTGCCCCGAGAGAGAAACTGCGGGTGAGTGTGTGTGTGTGTGTATGTGCGTGTGTGTGCGGGTGTGTGTGCGGGTGAGTGCGCGTGTGCGTGTGCGTGCGTGCGTGCGTGCGTGTGTGTGTGTGTGTGTGAACGCGTGCGTGTGTGGATGTTCAAATGATGTTATTCCAGTGCTTGTGCTTGCCTGCCACATTTGCGCAAGCACATCCCAACCACGGTCACGAACACAATCACGAAAGCAGCTTCGACTCACCACCCCTTACCACCACATTGTTGCACCCACCACTCAACACCACCAAACATCACCACCCACCACTCAACCACACCCAACAAACATCACCACCCACCACGCATCCCGATCTCTTGTTGCACAGGCGCAGCGGAAACTGGACACGGCGCGTGAGCCATTTGGCATCCGCCCCAAGCAGTTCTTCCCGCTGTCTGAGCTTGGCACAGACAAGTGGAACGACTACATCAAGCACCGCGTCTTTCACAGTGCGTTGCATTCACATGCGCGCTGTGTCTGGGACTAACTAACAGGGAACGGTCAGCAAGGGGTTGTTGTTCGAGTGGTTGGTTGGTTGTTGTCGATTTGCAGCGCAATTGATGGCAAAACTCACAAGTACACCCATTCATTACCTCACCACTCGCACCACGTCTTCCTTTCCCTCCACCCCCGCCCAACACCGCATTCCTTC